GCGAGAGACAGACAGACATTTACCCGGGCGTTCGCATTCAGAAACATATTTCCGATCCTGTGTGTTACACATGAAATCCATCGAGCTATAGTCTATCTGTCCCGAAAGAGAAACAGGCAGACCGGGCATGCTTTTATGTACACCTAAAAGGAGTGGAATCCTGTGTGTCAAGGTTGCAAAAGTAATCNGAAAGAGAAACAGGCAGACCGGGCATGCTTTTATGTACACCTAAAAGGAGTGGAATCCTGTGTGTCAAGGTTGCAAAAGTAATCGGCGCTTCGACGCTGCGCCGAATATCGCACAACAACGGCGCTTGCGCCCAAAAAAGTTGGGGTGTTAGCGTCAACTTGGCGCGGAGCCACCGACGCATTCTATGCCGGCTGCCGAAGACAAGCAGAGATCTTGCCGTACTTTTGGCGCAGAAAAACTGCGGGGCCCCCGCAAGAATTCAAGATTTCCACCATCCAGCAGCCATCACCCCTGCTAACAGACTAGAACAGACCAGTCTGCTGCTGCCTTGGTGTGCTGGTCGCCATATGGTCCATGGGTCCAAAATGCTCCACGGACGAGGTTTGAAGTCAATATGATACGACAACTACGACGCCCCTGAGCTGGCGTGTCAAGGATGTGCTCGACTGCTTCACAAGAGATGCGAGGAGTTACAACACGGCCGGGACGAGAGTGATTTTGTCCCGTATCCAGAGCGCGTGCATCGTGGAAGTTGCCACCTCTATTGCACATTCTGCAGCCCGTAGCCTGTAGCTTCCAGTTTGGGAAGGAAGCCCTATGTTGCTCAACATGAAAGGGGTTGAACATCGTTCGCGACAAGATTGCTACTCGTAAGAATTATCTCTTCCCTTTTTATGTCTTCCTATGTGGGGACATGTCAGGGCGTTCACATCCATCTTTCTCCTTCTCCATCCGCCGCCCTCCCCACCCTACACAAGTCTTACAACTTTCACCCCGGGACGATAAACAAGAAGGGGGCTTCAGTTGAGACCGTGGCTACCCGCGGGATGTTGAATTTCGCATCAATACAACAAAACGGATCCGTCTCTCAAAAGTTGACACGAGCCTTTGGACCGAACTT